TACACACTATTGAACCTACTTTCCTCTCGCTCTCTGCTTGCTTCTTCCTCGCTTTTTTCCCTTAACAGCAGCTAGCTGCCAGCTGCTCGTGTGCCGCCTTTCCTCCAAGCCCGCAGCCCTCCCGCGCCCAAGGGTGTATGCCCCACCCTGACCTCGAACCCGCTACACCTAGATCCCTCCTTCCCAGCCCCCTCCCCTCCTGGCCCCGCCCTCCGCCTCAAGCACGTCGCGCACGTCATCTGGCCCCGCCCCCACCCCGCCATACGCAAGGTGGCCTCACGCAAGGCCAAGCGAGGCTGGGGGCCAATCGCCGCAGAGCTGCGTTTAGGTGGCACAATCTGATTGGACTCCAGCGAAGCCAGTCCGTTTATTAGCCTCGCCAGTCCCGCAGCCTTTAACCTTTGTTCCTGGCAGACGCCAGCCACTCAGATCCTTCTTGTTGGTATACTTAGCGGCAGGGCCGCCGGCGGAGCAGTCTGAGCCCGATGTGGAGGCTGGGGACGGGAGCCGAGCGTGGAGGCCTCACGATGGGACACCCTGGCATGCATTATTATGCTCCTATGCACCCTATGGGTCAGAGAGCAAATATGCCACCTGTACCTCATGGAATGATGCCTCAGATGATGCCCCCTATGGGAGGACCACCAATGGGACAAATGCCTGGAATGATGTCTTCAGTTATGCCTGGGATGATGATGTCGTATATGTCTCAGGCTTCCATGCAGCCTGCCTTACCGCCAGAAGTAAATAATATGCATGTTGCAGCAGGTACTACATCTGGCGCAAAATCAATGTGGACAGAACATAAATTACCTGATGGAAGGACTTACTATTACAATATTGAAACAAAGCAGTCTACTTGGGAGAAACCAGATGATCTTAAATCACCTGCTGAGCAACTGTTACCTAAATGTCCCTGGAAGGAATACAAATCTGACTCTGGAAAGTCTTACTATTACAATTCTCAAACAAAAGAATCACGCTGGATCAAACCTAAAGAACTTGAGTATCTTGAAGCGATGATCAAAACTGAGGAAAGCAGTACGCAAGAAGAGTCCACTACTACATCAGCAGCCCCTGTTCCTACAACAGAAATTCCAGAAATTCCGACGACAATGAGCACTATGGCTGCTGCAGAAGCAGCCGCCAATGCCAATATTTCCACTTCTACTTCAAATGCTGTCGGTGGAACAGTTCCAGTTGTTCCTGAACCTGAAGTCACTTCCATTGTTGCTACTGTTGTTGATAATGATAATACAGTAACTATTTCAACTGAAGAACAAGCACAACTTTCTAGTAGTACCCCTGCTATTCAAGAGCAAAGTGTTGAAATATCCAGTAATACAGAAGAAACCTCTAAGCAGGAAACTTCAGCTGACTTTACTCCCAAAAAAGAAGAGGAAGAAAGCCAGCCACCCAAAAAGACTTATACCTGGAAGACAAAGGAAGAAGCAAAGCAGGCCTTTAAAGAATTATTAAAAGAAAAGAGAGTACCATCTAGTGCTTCGTGGGAGAAAGCTATGAAAATGATCATTCATGACCCACGATACAGGGCTTTAGCAAAGTTTAGTGAAAAGAAGCAGGCCTTTAATGCTTATAAAGTCCAAACTGAGAAGGAAGAAAAAGAAGAGGCACGATCAAAATACAAAGAAGCTAAAGAATCCTTTCAGCGTTTTCTTGAAAATCATGAAAAAATGGCTTCTACAACCAGATACCAAAAAGCAGAGCAAATGTTTGGAGAGATGGATGTCTGGAAAGCAATATCAGAACGTGATCGTCTTGAAATCTATAAAGATGTTTTGTTTTTTCTTTCAAAAAAAGAAAAGGAACAAGCAAAGCAGTTGCAGAAGAGAAACCGGAAAGCCTTGAAAAATATATTTCACAACATGGCTAATATAACATACTCTACTACATGGTCTGAAGCTCAAGATTATTTGATGGATAATCCAGCTTTTGAAGAAGATGAGGAGTTACAAAACATAGACAAAGAAGATGCATTAATTTGCTTTGAAGAATACATTCGAGCTTTAGAAAAAGAAAAAGAGGAGGAGAAACAGAAAAGCTTGCTGAGAGAAAGGAGACAACAACGTAAAAATAGGGAATCTTTTCAG